TCTTATTACTACTATAGATCGATTGTGTCATATTCTAATGACTATCATCGTATGTTGCAACACTTAGACTTAGGTCTCTTAGTGTTAAATTCTAAAAGACTAGCCTTCCTTCATGTTCTAATGTGATATAATCACACTTTAACATTAGGCATTTCTAGCTACCAACTTCTTTAACAACGAGCGCGATATTTCTATTGATCGCTTTGATTTCAATCGTTTGGTTTAAGTCGGACGCTACATCAAACTTGGTTCTCTGAACCACGTAACCTACTCATCGTAGTCGGACTCAATGTGATATGACCACTAGGGTCGGGATAACAACAATCTTCTTAGTCATTACCGAAACAATGGTAACGACATACTTGAATAAAACGAAATCAATTACTGGCTTCTTGGTAACCTTGTGACTTTCCCTGATCCAAGTGTGAGTCCTGTGCTTCCGGTAGTATAGGCCTCTACTACCTTTCACACCTACTCATACTCGTCCAAGTATTGTCTCGCAGTTTCCCAAGTCACCATGCAGCAAATCACACAACAATTTCACACACCAGATAACAAAACGAAGATTTTATTATTTCTCGAAACTATTACATAGGTGTTCAAGTTACCCTAGACTATGCCTCTACTAGGCTACATCATACGAAACTATGGCTACTGCATAATCCGATCTTCGGGTAAGAAGTCCTCATTCTTGATTCCTTGCATGGTTCTCTGCCTCGTCAAGGATCATGTGAAATGCCCTCGGCCTTGGTGGCGTTTCTGGTCTTGCTGCTTTATTTTTCCTTGGGCAGTCTCTGGACATGTGCCCCTTGCCTCCACATCCGTAGCATACTTTGTCATTATGCGTGCAGTCTTTGGAATAGTGACCAGTCCTCCCACACTTGTAACAAGTCACTTCTTCGTTGCACTTTCCACCATGCTTCTTCTTGCATCTATCACACCATCTTGCTTCACCTCCATCTGCTCCTCCAAGCTTTGAGAATTTGCTTTCCTTGTTCGGCCTCGAAGATCCTTCAAACTTCCGCTTCTCTCCTACCTTATCTTTTTCTAGACCCTTTTCTCTTATCTGGGCCTCTACGTTCTTAGCTGCCCTAACAGCTGCTTTCAAAGTAGTTGCCATTTTGACCATTGGGCCAAAGTCAGTGGGCAGTCCGTTAGCAAACCTATCAATCTTGGAGAGTTCAGTAGGCACCAAGTAGGGGAATAGCTTCATCCTTTCGGTGAATGCGGTGGCATACTCATCAACACTCATCTTCCCTTTCTTCAGGTTCTGAAACTCGTTGTTTAGGTCTATCAGATCTATCTCCGAGCAGTATTGCATTTTCAACTGTTCCAAAAACTCTTCCCACGACATCCTTAAGGCTTCTCCTCGTGGCATCGTATCTGCCAATAGCTTCCACCAGCTCAAGACTCCAGTTTTCAGCTGTCTTACTGCGAAGACAGTCTTCTGTTTCTCGTTACAGCTGCAGCTCTCAAACACCATCTCCATCTCAGAGATCCAATCCATAATCTCAACCGGCTTCGGGCTTCCTGAGAGGCTTGGTGGTTTCGCACCCAAGAAATTCTTGTACATCCGCCCATCCTTGTTGTTTCTCCCTTCTGGGCCATCCCTTTGCTCACCTTGAGTCCCTACTTGACTCACTTGGCGGCTGTAGTTCCCTTCCTCAGATTGCTCGGGAACTGGCTCCGTCGGTTCAACATGTACGGTAGGTTCGTCCCTATTCAACATCTGTCTCATTTCTTCCCTTTGTTCAGCTAACATAGCCCGAATCATGGCTTGAACTCCAGCCATGGTGACTGGCTCAGGCGCAACTTCTTCAACAACAGGTATTTGCTGAACCACTGGGGTTGGTTTCGGTTCCCATTCGCATTTACGTTTCCGCTACGGGTTCTTGCCATCCTGATCTCTACACCGAATAAGGTGAATCTAGATCTTTACTTAGGATTGACGTTTAAATCATCCTTATCACTCCGAAACGTTTATATGCTAGTTTTAATATCGTAGTCGTACGTTTAGAATCCTAAACACATAAGGTTTTCAGATCCGGTTGGCAACAGACCATAGATCCGAACAACTAACAGCATATCAGGCACAAGTATTTAGCACATAAAAGCATTTTAGGCACAATTCCTAAAATAAGCTAGTGCTCACACCTCACAATCATCGCTTAGCATTCTAAGTTTAAGTCTAGAAATAAATCCATATTCCTAGTTCGGTTAAACTAATGCTCTGATACCAACTGTGACATCCCCATTTTTACGGCCAGAAAAGACCGATTTTTTGTTTATGCTTTATAAAAATCAGAGTTCTTCTTTTAATAAAAATGTTGCGGAATTTGTTCCCAGAAAGTCATGATAAATATGTTATTAAAACATTTTCGAAGAAACGTATTTTATTCATTTAAAACGTTTGGGATGTCATCGTTAATACAGAAACATAAGCATAAACAGAACTTACATTTATTTACACTAGTGATCTACATCTCTTTAAATCTCTCAGTGTAAATGACTTCGTATCAACACCTGTGATATAAATAAACTGAGTGGGTCAGGTTGGGAAACCTGGTGAGTACATAGGGTTTTCAACCCACAATAATATAATTATTATGTTCAATCAAAGAATCAACCCAATTACCCATCCCCGTTATCTTCTTTACTCTTAAGGATTTAACCTAAGAGTCATCTATCCTGCATTCGTTTATTCCGAAGTCCCTTATTTCCAGGGTCATAGGACTGACACTAAATCCATAGCTACCAATGTTCGTTCGTAAAGCACTAATTCCATAGCTGCTATATCTTACTCATCGGGTACTAAATCCATAGCTACCAGTGCTCAACAGGTACTAAGTCCATAGCTACCCCATTCCTACAGGTACTAAATCCATAGCTACCGGTGTCTAACTAATAGGTACTAAGTCCATAGCTACCAACTCCTAACAGGTACTAAATCCCTAGCTACCAACGTCTGACAAAGTACTAAGTCCATAGCTAC